AAAAAAGATAATTTTGGGGCGCCTGGGTGGCGCAGTCGGTTAGGCGTCCGACTTCAGCCAGGTCACGATCTCGCGGTCCGTGAGTTCGAGCCCCGCGTCGGGCTCTGGGCTGATGGCTCAGAGCCTGGAGCCTGTTTCCGATTCTGTGTCTCCCTCTCTCTCTGCCCCTCCCCCGTTCATGCTCTGTCTCTCTCTGTCCCAAAAATAAATAAACATTGAAAAAAAAAATTAAAAAAAATAAAATAAAATAAAAAATAAAAAAAGATAATTTTGAACTATTTTCATTTATTAGCACATTAATATCATTAACTGTTTTATATTGTTTGGTATTATAAATATTTAACATGAACCTACTGCTAAATAACATCAGCCAATAACTTTTGAGAACTTATCATGCAAGACACCTGTGTAAAGAAACAAAATAAAGACAATTCCTACTCTTAAAAAGTTCACCACATAAAGAGGACAAAGAAAAATGAATTATAACACAAAATTATATGTGCAATAACTGTAAGTCAGTTTATTGCCTTGTTAATGACTAATGGGCTATGGTAGCAGCAAATGATTATCTAATGTTTATTATGTGCCAGGCATCTACTATTTATAATCAAGAAAGTCCTTACTATTATACTCTCCATCTCACAAACGACAACACCAAAGCAAAGAGGGCAGGTCATTTTTCCAATGCCACAGAGCTAGTTAGCAGTAGAGTTGTGATTAATGGTCATGTTGGGGGAAGGAATAGTGTTTTGACTTGACACTTTAAGGATAAAAATTTTAAAAATGTACAAAACACTGTACTCTAATTAGTAAATCTGTTTCTTACAGGGGTACCTGCTAGCACTTCTGAAACTATTTTCTAGGTGTATTAGCATGGAACAAACAAGTAAATGTATTGTAAGTGATGAAAACCAGGTTTATCACTAGGAGAACCTGTAAAGTAGGTCCTCAATGTAAAGTTACAGATATGCAAAGGAGACATGGTGGAATGAATCCTGTGGTAGTGGATTGGAATTGGGAATATATGTATGAATTTATTTAATTTTCTGTATATTTAACAATACTATGTATGTAATATAAGTGGATAGATAAATAGATACATAAATAACATAGACCACAGAAAGGGAAAAATGGTGATTTTATTGTGGAGAAATCTAGCAGGCACTACCTTATCAAACGACCAAAAGTCACATCCCCAGTCATGGGACAGAGTGATATCACTTAACTCTGATACAGTATACCAAAAATACAAAAACAACAACAACATCAAAAACCCCCACATCATCTCTGTGATTTTCTTCTGCAAAATTCATATTCTCCATCTAATCATTAGAAAGCATCAAATGAATTCAACTGAGGGATGTTCTGCAAAGTACCTGACTGCTGCTCTTCAAAAGTATCAAGGTCATAAAGGCGAGGAAAGACTGAGAAACCACCATGGGTTGGAGGAGACTAAGGAGACATGACAAGTAACTGTAATGTGGTGGCCTGGGCGGAATCCTGGAGGACAGGATGGTCCTGAAAACCTGGGAACCTTCAAACAAAGTCTAGAGTCTGGTTAGCAGTCGCACCAACGTTACATTCTTAATTTTGTCAGCTTTACCGTAGTTATGGGAGATGCTAGCGTTAGGAGAATTATGGTGAAGAGTAAGTGGGAACTCTCTGCACTATTGCAATGTTTCTGTAAATCTAAAATTCTTTTTAATTAAATTTAAAAATTTTAATTTTTAAAAATTATTTCTTTTAAATCCAATAATCATTTTATTATATTTTAAGTTAAAATGAAGTCTAAAAACAAACATAAAGGCACCGGGGTGGCTCGGTCGGTTAAGTGTCCACTTTAGCTCAGGTCGTGATCTAGTGGTTCGTGGGTTCAAGCCCCACATCAAGCTCCACACTGGTGTGAAGCCTGCTTGGGACTCTCTCTCTCTCCCTCTCTCTCTCTGCCCCTCCCCTCATGCTTTCTCTCTCTCTCTCTCAAAATAAATGCAAAGGATGCAAAGGTACATAAATCTCAATACAAAATTTTTAAAGGATTTATAAATAAATATCTACAGTAGCACTACTCTTAATAATAGTTTTTTAAACTAGAAACTATCCTGGGGCACCTGAGTGGCTCAGTCAATTAAGTGTTCGATTTTGGCTCAGGTCATGATCTCACAGTTCGTGGGTTTGAGCCCCCTGTCCGGCTCTGTGCTAAGAACTCAGAGCCTGAAGCCTGCTTCAGATTCTGTGTCTCCCTCTCTCTCTGCCCTTCCCCTGCTCACACTCTCTCTCTCTCTCTCTCTCCCCCGCCCTCTCTCTCTCTCTCAAAAATAAATAAACATTAAAAAAAATTTAAAAAAACCTAGAAACTAATGTTTATTAAGAGTTGAATGAATAAATACATTGTGACATTTATACAATGGGATTCTACTTTAATGAAAGAAGCTACAATAAAGATCACTGTCACAAACTTTATGCTGAATAAATGAGATAAAAGTACTTATTGAACAATTCCATTAATATGGAATTTTAGAGTAAGTGAAAGTAATCTCTAATGATAACAAGCACAAAAGTGGTTGCCTAAGGCCTATAGTGGGGGTGGGGGTAGGGTATTGAATGCCGAGAGAGAAAGTATCTTGTTGAGATGACGGAAAATTTTATAACCTGATCACGGATGAGTTCCATGGGTGATCATTTCTTAATACTTATTGAACTATACACTTAAAATGGGTTCACTTCTTTTTATATAAATGACATCTCAACAAAGTTGATATAAAATTTAAAAAAATCATCAAGAGATTAATTTACATGTTTGCTAATTTATTATGATGACACAACCCAGCCTTGGTTTCTGGTGTATAAATGGTCTCTGGTCCCTATTTTGCCATATTGGACATGGTCTCAGAATTATTTTCGGAGGAAAAATCCCCTGCCACTCCTGTGTTGACATGGAACAGCCATCTCTCGAGACAGCTGTTCTGATTGACTTCTCCAGGTTCACTGAAAATTTCCACCCCTCTCCTCAGCCTGGCAAGTTATCAAAGCCTGTGGAGCTCTCCTTAGTTAGCAACACAAAACAACTGCCCTTCAAGTCTCCCCCAAAATTAAGGCCTGAAGCACCCTGTTGCTAATTCTCATTAAAATTTTGGCTGTGATAAGTAATTTCATTTGGAGCACTGCCGGTGTGAGTACTTATTCTGTTCATTCAGAGGTATACATTATTTAGTCTTCCTAGATTCTCTTTTAGTAACTTGCGCTTTGGTATTAGACCATCAGCTTGGGTTAAAGAAACGAAGAAGGAGAACATACAACTCAATATTGTATCTATTCATTTGCTCAACTTTTCAAAAAGTTGTTTTATGATGTGTTAATTTTGAGGTGCCTGTGAGAAATCCAAGTGGCTACGTATTGTAGGGAATATAGTATCGAAATCTCAAGAAGTACGTTGTTTTGATTTGGAAATGATAGCCAACACATTTCACAGCCAGTGAGGCCTGGACACTGACCCATCAGGAGGAACACCGCCAGAGTGTGGGAGCAGATCTCGAGGCACCCCTTGCTGTGCCATATTTCATCCTTGCCTCATGGATGTTGAGGATAAGCAGAGAATTATGAAGGAAGGTTCACATCAGAAAGAGTGAAGAAAAGGCATCGAGGGCAGTGGCAGTTTACCAATCAGTAAGGAAGTATTTCAATATTTTAACAACCAGAATGCCATCCAATACGTGCCCACTGAATGGCGATCCTGAATGCCGTTGACAAGATTTATTAGTATATCAGCCAATGGCTTATTTATGAAGACCCTTGGGAAAATTTTCATTCTGAAAGTTCTCAAGCATCTGGTCTTTTAAAAATGTATCTCATGGATATTCTGAATCTCAAAAATATCTATCTCTGTCTGGCTATTGAGAAGCTTAGAACCATATTTGCAGCCAACTTCAGCTACTGTATTAAAAATTTTTAAATAAAATATCTTGTATTCCTACATTTGGCTATATTTCATTTTTATTCTAATTTCTTATTTGTCTTTTGAATATATTTTCCCATTGATTTATTTGTATCATATTATACACATTTCTTCAAGAAATCTCAAACAAATTTTAAATTATTTAATGTATTTTCAATAAAATATACACATTATACACACGTGCGTGCACACACATACACACACAGGAGAGGTTAAGTTTTTCTGAGTTGGAGTTAAGGGTTATATATGAAGTAGGAATTGAAAGACAATGGTGTTTATTTGGGAGACATTGCGAAAGGACATTTCAGAGAGAAGTCACAGCGTGTTCAAAGGCATAAATTTGTGAAAATAGCATTGCGTGTTGCTGCTGATCTACAAGTAGTTCATTTTATATTATTAGAAAAGGATCGGGGAAGGAGGGAATTACAGAAATAAAGGCTAGCTTTACAAAACCAAAATCAATAAGCTGGACTCTTTCCTGTACTTAACAGAAAAATTTAATGAATAATTTTAAGCATGAGAGAAATGTGAATTGAATTGTAATTTAGAAAAAGTACATTAGGAGCAATATAGAAAATCACTTCAAAGGTGGGAGAGTTTAGAATCTGGGATATAAATTGAAATGATAAAGAAGAAAAGTATGTACCAGGCACAGTGCTAAGAGCTTTAGCTATAGATTATTCTGTTTAGGACTCTGTTCTAAACATGCCACTCTCTTCATAGCCCCATGAAAACAGTCCTACAGTTACCCTAGGGTCTCTCACCTTTTCTGGAACAGTTGACCTGACTTCCTGACCTTCTTGGTCCCTTTCCCACCCTCCAAGGCTGAACTGAAGTGCCTCTCATCTACAGGAATCCTTCCCTGATTGTTCCAGCTTTCATAAGTCAATCACTTCTCTAAGTTTGAGATTATACCAAATTTACAAAGCACTGTTAAGCACTTCATCATTGCTTCGTGTGTTTATCTCCACAGCAAGAGCCTAAGCTCCTCGAATAGCAGAGCCAGCATGATCGTCCTTTTGAGTCCTCTTTATTACCATCCTCACAGTGGTGAGCATTAAGAGTACACTGAAGAAATCTGGTTCAATTGATCAAAAAATTTTAAAAATGGATTGAATTCTTAATCAATTCCCAATGTCAGCTGCTGGCAAGAGACCAGAAATAAGTAGCTATAATAGGGTAGAAATTCATTTCTCTGCATTAAAAAGAAAAAAAAAAGTCTGTATAAAGCAACTCTGGTGGGAGTGGCAGCTCTTTTCGTTATCAAAGACCTTAGTAACTTTCCGGTTTCTCAGCCTTAGCAGGTAGCTTACAAACCCAAAGGTTCTTTGTAGGGCAAAGTGCCAACTAGTAGTCTAGCATATCCAGGAGGAAAGAGGAAAGGAAGGAGTGAGGGGCAGAAAAGACCCATGCCAACTGTCTACCCGCTCCTCAAAGAGGTTTTGTGGGACTTTCCACCTAACAATTTCTGCTATTGTTTCTTTATTCTCAGTGGCTAGGAAATGTAGTCTTTCAGGTGGGCACTGTAAATCCCCTAATAAAATTAGCCGTCAAACTAAGGAAGAAAAGTTGAGTGACTATTAGGTAGGCATTTCATAGTCTCTGCCACAAGTGTTTATAGCACACTCAACGCTTGTAATGTTTTCTTTCGTTTAACACAGACAGCATTGTGCTAAGAGTCATGGCTTTAATGTTGCCCAAATCCATGTCCCAGCTCTAGCTGCAACCAGCTGGGTGAACTCGGGCAAGTTATTCATCCACTCTGTGTCTCACTTTCCCCATCTGTAAACCGAGATAATAATAGTACCTACATCATGGATGGTTTTAAGCATTAAATGAGTTACTGGATAAAATCACTTAAAGGAGTATTTGACTGACTCGCTAAGCGTTTATTTTCTGTTCTTGTTTTATCTTATATTCTTGTTACATATGTTCTGTGCGGGTAGGCTTCGTTATTATTGTGAGTGGCAAGATGCAAACCTGACTGCTAACTCCAAGCTCCGTGATGAGCCCATCCCACCTCCGACTCACCCGGCACCAAGAGAGGCATGCAAGGAAAGGACTACAGAAAAAAAAAGACGTGCAAAGCCCAACGTGAGCTTCACTCCTTCACAGTTTTGCTTAGGTCAGGGCTTTCCATGCCTTGGTGGTCTGTGGCTTTAAATATTTAATAAAGCTTCATGCAGCCCCTGTATCTTGCACACTTAAGAGTAAAGAATATCTCAATCTGTCATACAAAACATTGCCTGTCAAAATAAGAACTGCTATGCCATTGAAACTGCATTGCAAGAATTTAGTAATAAAAAATATTTGTTCTTTTGGGGGCACCTGGGTGGCTCAGTCAGTTAAGTGTCTGACTCTTGATTTCAGCTCAGGTTTGTGCGTTCTCATGGTTTGTGCGTTCAAGACCCGTGTCGGGCTCTGTGCTGACAGTGCGGAGCCTGCTGAGGTTCCTCTCCCTCTCTCTCTGCCCTTCCCCCACTCAAAAATAAATAAACATTTAAAAACATTTAAAAAAAAAATGTTTGTTCTTCTTGATACCTAGAGTAAATTTCAAAGTTTCAAGTGGTTTTGCACGTTAACCATAATAAAGTGGTTTTAATTCTAGACGACAGCAACATTCTCTGTCCCCTCTCAGGAAGGCCTGGCATTCCTAGCAGGTTACATTGCTTCTTATCTGATTGGAGCTTTGCCAGGAATTCTCGCCTCTTACACCTGCCAGCTGAGTACACCACCACACCAGCTGACTGATTCATGGCACTGGAATGAAACCAACAATGGCACCGAAACAAGAAATCTTGTTGACAAAAATGGCATCATAGACTCATGATCGAGAACTATGGCTTCATGTTGATCACAAGTGGTGGCTAGAACATTTTCTTTATGTTTAAATTATTCCTGAGACATTTCTGATTTGAATCAGAGCAAAGACCCATATTTAAACCATGCTTTTCTGTAATGTCTTTAGCTCATCTAGAAGTATAACATTATTTAAAAACTTAATAGCTGGTTGTTTCAACCACTATAGAGTGTGACTTTTTTTTTTTTTTTTTTTTTTTTTAGGTGAAGCATCAGTTGTCTTAGTCTATTGTGAAGACAAAGCGACTGTAGAGTAAAACAGAATCTCTGGACCTGTCCAACTTTTGCCCTTAGGAAGGAAAGCAACCATGCTGCAAAGAAATACAAGCATTTGGCAGAGAAGACTGCTGATTCTTTTTCTGTCTCAAGGCATAGCCATCTATTAAGCGCAGCCATGAACAATCCAACACCATCCCTTTTTGGTTTGTTCATTTGTTTGAAAGTCTAGGCAAGACACATCACTACAATATATATTGCTTTTTCCTTTATCACATCATAAAGATGATAAGAAGTGTATTACTATTTGAAATAAAATAATTTTTAATTGATCTGACTGGTAATAAAAAACTATGTAATAATGACAAGTGCAATATGAATTATAAGCAAAAGCTGTCATCTGGCAGATTGCATTGCTATGGAAGCATTTATGGTCTTTCTCAAATTATTTAGAATAATGTTTGTCAAGCTGGAGGGTGCCTCAGGGCGATGATTCCCTTCAGTTAGAAGAAGTGAGAGCCAAATGAGTCCAGACAGGTGGGTCAGAGGTCAAAGTATTTGAACAGATGCTCGTTGACTTGGACTTCTGTCTCCCATTTTACCCACATATGAATTAGCACCCTTACATTTAGCAGCTACATATTCAATTCTAGTTACCTGACATTGTTTTATCTGCTCCATTGCCACACTTTGTCAGATTGTTAAGTCCATAAACCACAAAGTGGGAGAGTCTTGGGGTTCTCCATGCCCTAGGTCCTGACAGCTGTGAGAAAAACACCAGTCCTGAATTAATTTTGATAGCAAATATCACATGCAAAATGTGAAGCACATATTGTAATAGAAACATAAATAGTGCACAGTGCCCAGCACTAGTAAGCATTTAAGAAAAACGTATTTATTTAGTCAATGAAAAGTTTCAGACATGAGCTCATGGAATATGACTTTGATGCGTATGGTTTCGGTGCTATTAACAACATATTTGAATCAATCATTGTATATATTAATGGAAATATGCATGTAAAAAGAAGATCATTTCTATGAAAACGAAGTTGAATGCTTTGGAAAGATCATAAATGTAATACTACCAAAATTCTTTATCAATTCAGGTGTATCTAGAAAACTAAAAATCTGAAGGGAAAATCATAAAATACATCAAAGAAATTTGTACTCTACTGGCTTTGTAAATATCTTTAAATTCCTATTCCTCTTTAAGGAAACTAAATCTCAAAATTGTATAGGATGAATTTTCGATGTGGATTGGGCAGGAAGATGACAATTCAAAGCAGGGAATCCAGAATAATGAAGATCTTGGCACAAAATCAAAATATTGACAAGTTACTGTGGATTTTTCAAACCACTTAAAGTTAGGCACGTATTATTTTTAAGCTTCCGCAATAAAATCACTTTTATTTTAAAACCAACTGACCATAGACCTGTTAGTATCAAAAAACAGGGATTTATCTCAAATATACATGAAAGAATTTTACAGCTCTTCAAGTCTTATAGAAATTTAAGTTATGTGGACCCTTGTCTTTTTTACCAACAAATCACAAAGTTGGTAAATGAAGAATTCACTGAGAACCAGTGAATGGACTGATATGCAGTTGGTTCCAAAGCCAAAAGGATATATATTATGGCTTGAAAGGAGAGGACACAAAATTTTAGTGCTCATAAATTGGAAGGCTCCCAGAGAGCCTTCCTTACTTAACCTTAGTGGCTTTAGCAGGACAAAGTAACTAACTAATTAACTTCTGTTCATGTGTGTGAATGTGTGTGTGTATAAAATATTTAAACATATGTGCATCATGATTTTGTACAGGCATACCATACATACTTGTGGTCACATTATACATGTACCATATATAACATACATATGCCTATAAATACACAGTGACACGTCTGTCTATAGAACACTGAACACTCCGCTTCCCCTTTAATCTTATTCTTATAAACTCAATTTCCAGCCAACAATGTGAAGTTTCCGAAACAAAATTACCTAAAAGGAAACTTCACACTTAGCTTGCACCTTCTTATAGATTTTCTGTGGCAGCAGGTTCTCAAACTTTACTCTTGGCATTTAGAAAGCTTTACTGCTGATCTTAGGCAATAGAACTTAACACCTAAACAATATGTCCTACATTTTATGAACACTTTGAGGATACTAATTAATCTACGTGATATCCTTGTGAAGGGAATAATTACAATTTTCACAGGTTTGTCCAGATGACACAACCGAGACTTGATTAAATAAAGTATCTAATAACACAGGACATTAATGAAAATGATCTTAACACTATTATTTACAGAGGAAAAATAACCTAGGAAAGATGAAATGGCAGTTCCATAAACAATCATGGGGCACTTATTATGTGCCTCACAAGCAAAGAAGAAAAAGAAATCATTTCTGTCCTTAATGTGATTGCAGTATAACACGATACGTGTGAGGAGAGACTTATTTAAAGCACAACTGAAGCACAGGGGTAGGGACGACTATCTGTTGTTTGTGAGGGAATGGCAAGAAATGTGCTCCTAAAATGACTTTGATGGAGCGTCTTGAAGAGTAAGATTTCACTTATCAGACAAAGAGGAGAAGGATATTCTACTGAGAGCATCATGACATATCAAGGTACAGAATGCCTTTTTCAGCCAAATAAAATCATAGCAGTACAGTTGGTCTGATGAAACCCCAAGGTTTCAGTGGGAAATTGCAGAATATACAGAAGCCACATGATGAATGGTCTATATTCTACCTATGGAGCTTTACATCTATTGGGCTCCCATCTATTGGGCTAATGAAGATAACATAGGGGAGCGAATGACACCATCCACTGCATTCTGGAAGATTTTTCTGTAAATAAGTAGGGGTTCAATTTGTTAATTTGAACAAGAAGGAGAATATACTAAAGAAAAAAAAGTCTGGGATTAAGCCGTTGTACTGAGAATAAAGAGAGAGTGGCAGTTTGGGTTCTTATTTTAGGAGCAGAATTAACAACACTCAGTGCTTTTATTTTTTTTTATTTTTTTTTTCAACGTTTATTTATTTTTGGGACAGAGAGAGACAGAGCATGAACGGGGGAGGGGCAGAGAGAGAGGGAGATACAGAATCGGAAACAGGCTCCAGGCTCCGAGCCATCAGCCCAGAGCCTGACGCGGGGCTCGAACTCACGGACCGCGAGATCGTGACCTGGCTGAAGCCGGACGCTTAACCGACTGCGCCACCCAGGCACCCCCACTCAGTGCTTTTAAATATAACTGATGACTTTCCTCCACTAGTTGCTTCCCAAAGGGTGTCGTGATTTTTCTCCTCAGGTCATTCCTGTATTTATTTGGGGGGACAAGTTTCTCTAGGGTGGTATATAACCCAGCTCGCTGGCTTGCTGCACGACCACTTAGACCAAGTGTAGGTTTAGAAATCATACAAGTCAATATTTTATCTGAAGATATTCTTATCTAAGGTGACAATAGTGTCTAACTCTTAACTTGGAGTCTAGGGTTACATCAGATTTACACAATCAATATCTACTTTTCTCCCAAATTAAATTGAGACCACGACAGATTGACCAAAGGCTCTGCAGAGGGGAACTGCAGGTACAGCATGTGGGTTCTCATTTCTACCTTACTTCAGAGAAAAGAGAAGGGTGTGAAAAGTCAGGAAGGGTATTTAATTGCTCCAAACTTCATCGGCTCCATAAAGGCAACTAGAGAGTCCAGTTAATTACTCCATGAGTAATTAAATCATCAGGAGTTTAAAAATAAGTTACAAGGTACTAAAATGGAATGCTTTTCAGAAATTATGTCTCTGATAATTAAGGAAGTATTCAAATATGTGCACACACAAAATGACAATCTCCCAAGCTTTATCAATAAACATTAGCTTAAAAATTAGTTTTGGTCAAAATGATCTCCATTGTTATTAATGGAATCATGCACCAACTTTATGCATCACGTGGGAAGCTATTAACTTGTAAATTAAGAGCCAAATAGTTTTCAGGGGCACCTGGGTGGCTCAGTCGGTTAAGTGTCTGACTTTGGCTCAGGTCATGATCTCACAGTTTGTGAGTTTAAGCCCCACGTCGGGCTCTGTGCTGACAGCTCAGAGCCTGGAGCCTGCTTCGAGTTATGTTTCTCCCTGTCTCTGCCCCTCCCTCCCTCATGCTCTGTCTCTCTCTCTCTCTCTCTCTCTCTGTCTCTCTGTCTCTCTCTCAAAAATAAATAAACATTAACAAAATTTTTAAAAAGCCAAATAATTTTGAAATACTCCATTTTTAATACTATTTGTATTGATCCATTACGTTTTGAGGTTTGACATAGAAATGTATAACCGTGACTTTCTTCTCCTTAGTCCTACGTTAAAATCCAAAGTAGAAACCTTTGGGAAGAGTAACGTTCACTAAGCCATTAGGCAAAACGATGAAAACAGGGAGATAGCTGGTTGACCGGCCTCGTACGTACTTTCAATGCATTTCACATGTCTTCATAGGAGGACTTCATATTTCCTCTAGAGTTCTCAATGGGCACAACTCATGCTCACTCGATAATTTGACTTCTCAGAAAATTTCCCTCCTTATGAGATTCCACTCAAGGTCTTCCCCATAAGAATCAACATAAAATGTTCTAGCCACCCAGGAGACAGCGGTGTGTAATGCTATAAGCAAGGTGGCAGACAGACTGCTCACTGATGTCAGACATAGTGAAGCTTTTGTGTACTCAGGCCTTGGTGCATTTTTTACCTTCTTATGCATGAGTTTAAGCATATGACTTAACCCAGATGTGTCTCAGTCTCTCCTGTGTAAAAAGTGTGAGGATTATAATTACTTACCTCTTAGGGATGTTATGACACTAATTAATGCCTCAGAATTCTGTGAATAAAAATTATTCTGCACAGATGTTAATTACTATTATTCAAAGAACAGCCATAAGGCCAGATGCCGGAGAAGGTGACGGGCAGGTTTTTAATGCCTGCAATGAAGGCTAAATACAATTTATTAGGAAGAATTGTGGAGAAAAAGAAAACAACAAAAGACTTAAAATGAAGGCATTATATTAGCAGAGCTTAAGTAACTGGGCATCTACTGAAAATGAGTGTGGGGTGCACATGCCATAGCCAAAAATCAACAACAAAAAAAAATGTAATGGCCCATGGCAGATTTCCTGAAGGAAAAAATGCTTTTAGCAGTACTTAAATCCTAGTGTTGTGAGCAAATTTTAAGGTACATTGCTATACTCTATATAATCAAAAAAGACTAATTCACTCAAAAGACCCCATGTGAGTCCACCTGACACAGTCTTTTTATTATGTGTAGTAGCCCAAGATGTGAAAATTAACAAATCCGTAGGGATTGCAGAAGAGACAATGGTCAAATAGAGAATTACAGAATCTCCCTTATCTGTTATTTCATAACTGAAGAGATAAGGTAGTGTGTCTTAATGATGTTTCAAAGGCTTTATTTTCCCGTAATTTCTACAGTTGTATCCTTCGGGCTCTGCCCTTGGTTCACTCTCTGGCTACAGCTGGGGAAGCATGAGGAAGACAGGTCTTCAGTTTTCCCTGACCATTCTTGTACACCATGACGTGATAAATCTTGTGAGGTTATTTCTGAAAGTTTTCTGTATCTGGAAAGACAGCCTAAGCAGAAAGTGGATTCTAAAGTCCTTCCCAGCCTAACACGATGGAATTCTTAGCACTTATATATTGTGGACTATTTACTCACATTTTGCTCTTTCTCCTGAGACTTCTGCAAGATGGCTTGCATTCTTGATGTT